AGGTGGCGAATCCAAGTTGCCATGGCCCATACATGCCCTTTCATTGCTAGAAGGACCATGACGACAGTGACGGGGCGGACGGCGAGGAAGGTCCCGTCGGCCAGGAAGGCCATGCACACGAGGTTACCACCTATTCTCTCCGTTTTAAAATAGATGACTCAACTTTATACTAATTTTAGTACAAAGTTGGGTCATCTATTTTGGAACGGAGGGAGTAGCACCTTGAGCGGTTTGCATGAAATTTTTCCTTTTGGTTCAATTTTCATTTAAAATACCGGCGGACTTTTTGGGCACGCAGTTGAGTGACTAGCTCTCATATCCGCGTCGGCAAAAGGATGGTGTGTACGATATAAGAGATGCCATTGAAGATGCCCTAATATCATATCTAAATTTGCATGGCGGTCAAAACTTTAATTTTGAAGATGCCCTAATATCATATCTAAATTCGCATGGCGGTCAAAACATAATTTTTGGGATTATAGCCGTTATAGGCTTGGCAAATACGGGTCTGCACCCGCTGAATACCTAAAACGCAAATCACGCCTGCGGGAACGCATCTTTCCGCCCCTGAAGTTTCCCCACCGCGGTGGATGCCTCACGCGAATCTAGTCGCCTGTCCCTGTCACCACTCCCTTGGCTGCCCGGAGGCCCGCCCCCATTCCCGCCGCCTAAACGGGTTGCCACCGGATTCGAGCTCCCCGCCGGCGTATCTGCTCCACCTGCTCGATTCTGGCCACCCCCAAGCTCCCCGCCACAACCCAATTCCTCGCCACACCGACCGCTCTCGAGCTCCTTCTCATGGTAAGGGATGTTGCAATTGCTTCCACCTTCGTGTCAGATGCCCACGAGCTCCTCCTCATCGTACCAGGGTGTAAGGCACCAATCGTCGAGCAACTATGCCGAGGAGTTCCAAAACCCGGACACGGGCGCACGCGTGTGGCTTGGCACCTTCTAACACCGCAGAGGTGGCGGCACGCGTACGACACAGCGACACTCCACTATAATTCAGGAGTTGGACAAGACTTCACTTCCTCCCTTCCCTTCACGGCCTTCATCGTGCCTCCCGTTAAGGTTATCTCTCGAGACGAGGAGAAGGAGCACTGCTAGGCCAAGGCACAACTCAAGGCCGAGTGCGACCATGCCTCCTTGGTGGCAAAGCTCATCGACGATGGTCCGCAACTCCTCGATGAGAATCGCGTGTTTTTTCGAGTCCAAGGTGGATGCACGCAAGAGGGGGCAGGAGCTATCATTTAATTGCCCATTTTACTGTTTACTACTCCTTTTGTCCCATCATGTAAGACATTTTTTAACATTAGTGTAGTTTCAAAAAGCGTCTTACATTATGAGACGGAGGGAGTACATTGTACAGTATGTAACTAGCCATAATGAATTGGGATTTCCCCTTGTTCTTCTCGTTCTCTTGTGTTTCTGTTGAATTTAAGATCAGAACCACAACACGGTGGAGATATGGCTCGTCGACCGCACAGGAGCGAGATGGAGTCGGTGTCATAGCAATTGGATTACAGGGCAAGGGAGATCATCAGCCAAGGGGTTTCATGTGTGATCGATTGTGGTCATCATTAATGATTAGCGTTGGAGCATGTCGGCGACCAAGATGAGGAAGCAGGGAGACATTGGGTCCTCTTGGTGGAGCCTGTGTTGCGCTTGTAATCAATCTCGGGATATACGAAATGCCATTGACAACGATGGAAGCGTCACTGATGCACCAGAACAAGCGCATCAACCTGGGCGAGTCAAATCTGACATAATGCTTGAGTTTCAAAATTAGTTTGGTGTATTGGTGTAAGTGAAAGATAAGCTCTGCACCCCCCCCCCCCTGCCATGGCTATAGGTAGGGTTGGGACTAGTGTGTTCCACGCGGACATTTAGAATAATCCCCCCTGATCCCAACCACATCTAGACGGAGCTCCTGTGGTGAACTCGAGGGCGAGCTGTGGAGCTACCATGGATTTCCAAAATCATTAACAACGGGTCTTTCTTCTTTGGGCGAGCTGTGGAGCTACTTTTTGTTTTCTTACATACCATCTGTTTTGACTTTTCTAGTACTTTTGAGGTTAGTCCTCCCCAATCACCATTACAAAGTTTTAGCAATGCGTCGATAGCTGCTAGGGTCTCCAAGAGGCGTCCCCCGAAATAGCTCGTGTTAGCTTAGTGAATTTTTTTCCATTTTTGCTTTTTTAGCATATCGCATTTGTCGGGGTAAGATCGAAACACACACCATGTGATGCCGAGTCAAAAGCTTTCAACTTCAGAGCGATCAAAGGGACCTGCATCGCTGAGATGGCATCGTTGGCTCTCATAAAAATTTTGCATTTCTGCAAGTGGTCGGCAGAGAGGCATGTGCTCCCTGAAAATATGTAAGGAGATGACCCTCACTTTTACAATTGATCAGTGCTGCATTAAACAATAGTTACTGGGAAAGAAAATTAAAGGGAAGAAAACGAAGGATAGGATTAGGATTAGGATGGCAACGACAACTTATGGGCTGTTCGGCATCGCTCCGCTCCACAGCTCCCGGAGCGGAGTTGGCGGAGCTGTAGGTCAAAATGGTGGAGTTGCCAGTCACCCGCTCCGCAGATTCCGGGAGCGGACCATTACCGAACAGGGCCTTATTCTCTGTGCAGGGTGGTAAAACACAGATGCTAGCATCCCGCAAAAAAAAAACAGATGCTAGCAAATGGATATACTGGATTAAGCCACCGTGATTTATCAGTCCGAAAAAGAAGGCCCAAGTAAACTTTATACAGTACAATAGCTAAATTATATAAAAAGAATAAGTAAATCCTCCAGTTCAATGACAAGCAAATACTTGTTCGTACGATAAACACGTTCCTCATCACATGAGAGAACAATTTGGTAACCTAATAAGAATAGTTCTGAAGAGCATATTAGCTCAGTAAACATAAAAATCTTGCAGTAGGTAACTAGGGCTGAATTTGGCAATTATTTCCTAAACAAAAATTGAGATTGCATAATACAAACTTTTAAGACCTTAAATATATTATCAGGTGCAACCCATGCATAAGATGTAGACTGACAGCCTGGCTTTGGTTAGGGCACCATATCAGCATGACGAATTCTCCCGAAATCATGATTGACACACTGCTGCTTTGTGGGTGAATCTACATCACAGACGAAGAAATAGCATATTTAAGGGGCTCTGTGCTGCACAGTTTGGAAACACGGAGTCAGATCAGGAAGGACACATACATACACATAAGTGATGGCAAAAAATCAGGTATTGATCCTGGGAGATTGAGGTGAGATAGATCCCTCGAAATGCAAAGTAACACGAAGCTCTTAGAAACAAAGGTTTAAGTATGATAGAATAAATTCCCCTGATTTGCACAATGAGCTTTTGCATTGAGATGTTTAGTACTCCCTCCATTCACTTTTGAAGACGTTTTAGACATTTAAGACAGCACCTAAAACAGTTCAATTTCAGCTGTCCTAAACGACTTACAAAAGTGAACGGAGGGAGTACTACTTCAAGCTCAAAAACAAAAAAGAACTCAACTCGAGGTTTGACATGCGTACCATGTTTGAAAAAGTCAGACAAATACTGTTTAACAATAAAATACAAAGATAATTTTAACTTTTTACAAGCATGTAGTTTAAGTTCCTATGGTAATTTGTTAATGTAGTTTAGAAAGAGACATAGCATTGAGCAGTCAATGGCCATAAAGGGCAGCCCGGTGCATATAGCTCCCGCTTGCGCAGGGTCCGGGGAAGGGTCAATGGCCATACATGTCCAGAAATGCAAGCACTGTTAATTCAGAGACTAACAACTAAGGCAAGAATATGTTCTATGAGGAAGTCTGAAAAGATATATTTATAGAACGTACATGTTGGAGCAACGTTAGATGACCAGAAGTGCCAATTTCACTAACCAATCCACTGGATGACAAGATAACAATTTACTTTCTCTTCACAAAAACTTCATCTGGAGAAAAATGTGCAGGTTCAGTTAGCAAGATGAAAAACAATGTTCTCAAGGTATAAATAGCAAGAAAATAACGAGCTCTCATCAGTTATGATGTCGAGATGTTTTATACTCCTGTGTATGGCTTTAATCTAAATATGTATGCCAAGATACTTCAGAGATGTGATCTGCCTCTCCCAAGGAGTTCAGAATGATTTCAGTTTTAGCAGGGATGACATGTAAATTACCTTGAGCTTTGTTAGATGGCCTACAAAAGATGATGGTCTTTCTCAGAAGCTGATCATCCAGCTTTACCAAATTATTGGAGCTGGTATAATTTATGGTTTTTTTATCTAATTAAATGTCAATGCATAATGTTGCTGGAACTTCTAGTTTTTTAATGCTACTACAAGTGAGGAAAGCTTCCTGGAAAAAAATAGAATGATAACAAGAATAAACTGTGGACATACTTACATTTTTTTAATTAGCTAGTGCTACAACTAAAGGTATATATACAAAACCATAAGAAAATTAGATCACTACACAATGCTCATTCTGTCTTTTCTGGGAGTAAATATCCATTCATCATAAACTGGAGGATGTACAGGAGACTGAATGAAAGTTCAAACTTTATGTACACAGGTTTCAATACCTCGAGATCGGTCAGGTAGTAAAATCATCAAGCTCCTGGTGCTGGGGGGTTCAGAGAACGCCAAACAGCTTGATGATGTAGAATAGTTCATTGATTTTACTATAACTGCCATCGGCCCAAAACACACTTGATATGCTGAGGTTCAGAGAACTCCAAATAGCTTGATATCTTTTACCATTAGCAAACACATCACACACCAGATGGCCCATGCGTGGAGGTGGCGTACAGATTAGGATTTAGGAGCGATGTCCATAGGATACACGCCCAGCAGCTAAGCACCGACCAGAACACCATGGTGGCAGTGTGGCACCATCACCCAGCTCAATCTTGGTGAGGCACTTGTCCACACCGTTGAGAGGGAGGAGCTCCAAACCACACGAACACTTATCTGCTGATTCCAGTGCATCAACTAACTCCACCGAAGAATTGGTATTTTACAGGGAGCAATTGTATTTGTTCACGATATTTACCTTTCCCAGAAAACAGAGACAACAACAATGAACAAGTTGAAGCTTCAAGTGAGATGCTCTTGCCATCAACTTTAGACATATAATTTCCGGCCTTGACTATCTCCCCCTTCTCCAATAACGTTCTAATAGTATCATTTAAAAGACGAGAGCAAGGAGCACAACCACTCCTCTCCATTGATAAGAACATACTGTCAGCTTCTTCCACTGATCCTTCTTTTAGAAGATTTCGTATCATTATGCCGTATGTAGAGGCATTGGGCACCAACCCGCTGTCTGATATTGCAGCAAACAAATCTTTAGCTTCTTCTCTTCTCTGAACAGTGTACATTGAATTAATCATGGTATTGAGTGTTGTGATATTGAACTTTACATTAATTGTGTGTAATTTCTGGAACATGACGATTGCTTCGTCGGTGCAATTATTTCTACAAAGTCCTTTAAGAATTATGTTGTATGTGGACAAGCTCACTGTTGTTCCACATCCGATCAACTCATGGAGCATTTTCTTGGCAGCAACGGTTCTCCCAGCACGAAATAATCCATCCAGTATGATGTTATATGTAACAGTTGTAGGTTTAATTTTCTTATGTGACATTTCTCTGAACAGATTCAACCCATCATCGATCCTTCCACTCTTAAAATAACCATTGACAAGTGTATTATATGTAAAGATATCAGGCTCAATGCCGGCTGATATCATGACATCTAGTACACTGACTGCTTTGCCCATCTCACCGACTAGGCAATATCCATCAATCAGCGTATTAAACATAATGATGTCAGATCTCTCCCCTATGTCTTTAACCAAGTCAAAGATATGGTGTGCATCCATAACCCTTCCTTCTTTGCATAGACTGTGTACTATTGAACTGAAGAATGCAATGTTTGGACGAGGAATACCTTTATTCATCATTTCAGAAATCAACTCCTTCGCTTTCACCAAATCACCATGTGTACATAAGCCCTGAACTAGGGAGTGATAAACAACTGTGTTCGGTTGTACTCCCGTACCAATCATCTCACTGAACTTATTCATTGCATCAGCCAGCCTACCCATTCTGCAAAGTGAAGCTATCAAAGTTGAATAGGTGACTACATTTGGATTGACTCCTTGTCCTGGCATTTCAGTAAATATGAGCATAGCTTCGTCCATCATTCCTCGTTTAGCATATGCATCAATTAATATGTTGAAAAATTGGCAGTTGGCTACAGTACCGTCGCCTTCCATTGACTTAAAGAGACTCATCATATCAGGAAAGCTTCCTTCATTGGCATACCCATGAAGAAGAGTGGTGTAGGAGATGATATCAGGCTTGTGGCCCTTTGCAGACATGGAATGAAAAATTTCTGCAGCTTCTTTGCTCCTTCCATGCTTGCAAAGGGAGTCAATGAACGAGTTCCAAGTGACAATATCTGGTATAAGACCACTGCTTGTCATTTCTCTGAACAGTTTAGTCGCCTCTTTCCACTGGCCCAAAGTGGAATATCCATGGATCATGCTAGTATATGTCACTTTATTCGGTTGAACGCCGTTATCAACCATCTGCCGAAGGAACAACTCTGCATTGTCCATTGCTCGGGCCTTGCACAATGCATTGATAACCGAGTTATATGTCACCACATTAGGCACAAACCCTTGCTTCGTCATTTCATGGAATAGATTGCAGGCCTTGCCTATTTTTCCTTCCTTAAAGAAGCCATGAATGACGGTGTTATATGTGACCACGTCAGGGGAGCACACACCTTCTTCTTTCGCCATCATCCGGAGCAGGTAGAGCGCCTGCTGGCTCCTGTTATCATCACATAAGCTCTTCAGGACAATGGCGTATGAGAAGGCATCAGGCACACACCCCAGCTCGGTCATCGTATGAAGCAGCACTTTCACAGCGTCGTCTGCCCGTTTAGCGCAGCACAGGCACTTGAGGACAGTGTTGGTGACGATCTTGTCTGCCTTCAGGCCCGTCCTTAGGAGGCGGCCGAAGAAGGCGAGCCCAAGTTCCGGACGACGCATGCGGCAGCAGCAGTTCATGAGGACGCCGTAGGTGAAGATGGTCGGCGGCGCCACCCGCATGCCGGCTTCTTCTCGGTAGACACGGTTGAAGAGGGAGAGGGCGAGAGCAGGGCCGTCTCTGCAGGCCTCGGAGGGCGTGGCACGGGTGAGGGCGGCAAGGAATCCGTTGAGGGGGCGGTCGGGGACCGGGGTGGCCTGCTGAAACAATTCGTCGAACAGGTGGTGTGCGTCTTGCGGGCTGAGCGTTCCGTCGCGGACGCGCTCCGTGGCCGCGGCAAAGGCGGCGCGGGGAGACCAGGAGGGTGTGGGTCGTGAGGTGGAAGAGGAGAGGCGGCGGCGGAGGCGGATGCGGGACATGGGCGTGGTGAAGCAGGAGCAGTGGCGGAGGCGGGGGCGGGACATCGGCGAGATGGGAGAGGAGCAGCCGCGGAGGGACGTCGGCTAGGGAGAGGAGGAGTTGCGGAGGCGGAAGCCGGACGTCGGCTAGGAGGAGGACGACGACGATGAGCGGCGGCGGAGGCGGGACGGTCGGCGCGCGAGGGGAGCCGTTACAGTTGCGGGAGCGTGTTCAATTTAGGTCTGCGCTATGGAATACTATGGGATTTATGTTTACATTCAGGAATATGGGATCTTGGCAGCGTTCCAACGAGTATGCCAGGTTACATTCAGAAGAAGGCATCCAACGCCCGTCCCTCAGATCGCCGTGTCCGAATTCGTGCAAACTAGCATCAAACTCAGCGCCATGCGTCCCGCTCTAGAATGATCACCGCGCATTCGTGCTGGTTTGGCTGGTTCGGCGCTCTATAGCGGACGCGACTCGACGGCCTCGACACCGATCAAAGAGACGCGATCGCGTGGGAGGACGACGCCGCTTTAATGCGGACGCGGCGACCGAGAAGCCTATTCCGATCGTTATGTTGCATTGAATCGGCGTCATTTTACATGCCCCAACTATTCAAACAGAGTGTCGGCCAAAGCACATTTTGTATCCTCTGCACATCCGCCGAGGAGCTCCTCTCCTCTCGGCTCACCACCGTCGTCACTCCTCTCATCTCCTCCACGGTGGGAAAGTCTGGCCACAAAGGTTGGTTTTCTGCACCGGCGGGTGGATTCGACTCTTTCGACGGATCTTGGCGTCGTAGGCCACATTCTCCGGACCCTTCCTCCTCCGACATTGGAAGACATGGAGGAGATCATGCTCTCCTTCAGCGACGAGGAGGATCCGCCGCTCCTCACGGAGGCCGCCATGACGAATGAGGAGTACCAGGCGCACTTGGAGTCCTTGAG